TATATAAATAAGCAAGCTAAACCATTATGTCATTGGCTTGATTTTCATTTAGCTCAGTATGTGAAGCCTGGCATGTGACTTATTTAAGAAACCATGGATAGGAGCTGTACCTGAAGAAAAAGGTTGTGGAGATAAGAATGTATTGAAGCATTGTTTCTGATTTGCCAACTTTTAACTTGCAAGTTTTTTCTTCCTGCTGGGGGAATTTGTAGTTTGATCTGACATCAGATGTAACACGTTTTCTGGACTGTATCTGCAGTCCTGGAAGGGTACAGTCCAGAAAGCATGTTACAACTGATGTCATTGATTTTACATAAACTGTACTTCAGCACTGCTGCTAAGTCCATTGCAACACAGTTTCCTGCTTTGTTTTGTAAGAAAGTGGAACTAATACAGTATAATTATTTTTTTTAATTAGTTCTTATGTATAAATTATCAAAATAATGTTTCCAGAGAAAGATACCACTCTTCCCTATTTTGTAATCAAAGAAAAGTTTGAAACAGCATATGGAGAACATTAGTATACAGAGACCATCTAAAATGAATGAAAAATAAAACTTCAGTGAAGTCAGGATGTTTCCATGTGGTTTTGGTTTTATGTTATAAGAATCCTGAAAATAAGAGCATCTGCTTAGGTCTTTCATAAGTCTGAGATACCTTCAGATGGGGAGGTTTTCAGTTAACTGTTTCCTGAGGTTGCAGAGTCCTGCTCAACATGTGACCTACCAAACCAAAGTGATCTGTTGGCCATATGTGTAAGTATCATATAGATATATATGTATATGTATGTGTGTGTGTATGTATATATCTTTTCATTACTATAAATATCAAAAGAAGGGCAAACATTTATTAAACAAATGTATATGGTTCCCCATCTATCGGAAGGAACTCTTTTTGAGGGCAAATACAACAACAACAGCAACAAAATCCCTTACAAACTAAGATTGTGCCCTTGTGGAGAAGGACCCATTGAATCCCAAGTTCGTGCCTGCTATAGGGATGCAAAGGCCCACTTTATAACTCCGTATCTGGCAAAGTCCCTAGGCAATACTGATTTATTTTATGTATAGTTACTTTTATCAAACTTGTTCAAATTTATCTCCTTGAATGTGGTGGTTTTTTAAAAAAATATTGTCTGTAAAACTAGACACACTCTGATTGCTTCGATGACCTAGCTACCATTTTATGTTGTCTTATTTTATTTGAAACAGGAACTGTTTAATTATTTTAATTATTTGTTTACTCACAGAATTCTGGTCTGTGACCATAATAAAGATGAAAATAAACTAAACAGTATGAAGAACTATATAGTGGCATTTGTTTGTGATGTGCCTTCGAGGCAGTTTCGAGTCCTGGCAACAAATCCCTGCAGTTTTCTTGGCAACATTTTGGAAGTGGTGTGCCATTGCCTGCTTCCTAGGGCTGGCCTAAGAACACCCAGCTGGCTTTGTGCCTAAGGAGGGACTAGAACTCACTGTCTCCCAGTTTCTAGCCCAGTGCCTTAACCACTATACAAACTGGCTCTCACAAGTGGCATGCTCAGTTTAAAAAATGGCAGAATGAAAACAAAGCCAAACCAGACATGCAGCATCAGTGCAAGAACAGCTAAGTCCAGGTGAAAAGTTAGCTCTCTAGCAGGTACTGTTAAAGCATCCTGTAAATTTCAGAAGGGAGACAAGGGTGCTGCCGCTTAGAAGACTTCCTTACTTTGCATTGTGGCCTGCCAGTCACCTTCCTCCTCATCTCTTTTGCAGTACACGTGGTCCTCAACTCGTGACCACAGTTGGGACTGGCAACTCAGTTGTTAAGCAAAACAGTTGCTAAGTGAAACTGCAACTGCGCTTACAGTCTTCACTTTTCCTTTGCTTTACAGACCTGTGAAGGATGTAAATGCAAGGATTGGTTGCAGAGTTACTTTTTTATCACTGTCATAACTGAATGGTCAATGTCTGAAGCAGTCACTAAACAAGGACCACCTGTACCTGTAAAATATAAATATAAATATAAAATAGGATACTTACTAAACACGAAACTGCATGGTTTCTGGGATGCATTGAGCTTGTTGCATCACAATTATTGCAAGACTGATTTAGGTGAATGTAGCCTTTTGGATGCTGGCATTATTTTTATATAAGCAGCTGTATTCCAGGCACCATGAACGTCAGGAGCAATAAATAATTTAAGAATTAAGATGAAGCACCTTTCTGAAAGCTGAACTTAATTATCAAAGTTTCAGTTTATTATTAACTGAAAAGGAACCATGCGTAATCAGCAGAAGCAAACATGACCAGATTTATTTCTACCCAGTCTCCAAATTGAGATATTGTTGTGGGAGATTAGCTGGTTTAATTAATAAAAGTATCTGAACATGGGTCAAGTATATTTTTCTAGCTTTCATATTGCTACACTTTATCAACATGTATTTGGGGTTAAGGATCACCTTTCTGGGGAGACAGAGGTGAGCACTAAGTTAGATAACTCATTTTTTAAGATACAAATCAGGACTGACCATAAGCCATAGAAGTGACCATGGGAAGTACCAGACAAAGGAAAATGCTTGTTAATCATGTTCTGCCTCAACCTGGACTTCCCTCTCAATCTATGGAGACAGTTAAACTAAAGACGTTTTACAAAGACTGAAGCTTTGCCTGCAACCAGTTTACTTTTAACAAACTAAGAACTGTCTTGAAAGATAATCTGCTGCATATCTGGTAAAATCAGTCCTGTGCCAGATTCTACACTAGATCAAACATCGTGGACCTTAGTCGGCAGGAAAAGAAAAAAAGAGAGAGAAAAAGACCGTATGACCTCTGAGGCCTCCTCGAGTAAACCAAATGTAACATAATGAAGACTCAGAGACTGTGAAAGTACTGCTCTCTGAAACTGCATGAATAGTAAAAATGGTTTGCTACAAACTTGAATCATGTTTTCTTTTTCTGTACTCCTAATCTCTACTCTTTAAAAGTGAACACAATTAATTGTAACTGTGACAGGTTTTCTTGGCATGGGGAAAGATAGTTCCTCAGTAATACAGTGTATGCGGCCCTAGAGTGTACTAGAAGTCCCTTCTTCAGATTTTAACTCTGGTGTGAACAGTTTAGCCTTTTGGCCTATGCTTCTCTCTGGCATGCAGAGATTGTGCTTGAGACTAGTATGCTCCTTTCTCTCTTCTCCCCCCCCCCCACTTTTGTATGCAATCTTGTTTTGAATGTGAAGCCCATTTCCTTTCAATATTGTTCACGTGGTGCCTATTCCTGATCCAGGATATGTTTTGTGAGCCTGAGTCCCATGGCTGCTTTCTCTTCCAAATAACAGTTTTTGTAAAATGACCAAATTAATGCTTCTACATACTTTGGGGAAGGGAGGGCTAACCAATGATCAACTAAACTTTCAGGACATTAAGTAAAAGGCAGGAGCAGCTGTAATGGGAGGCCATTCCTCCACCAGCTCGTCTTCACCCTCCATGAAGGTGATGAAGGTGTTGTTTCAGGACAGAAAATAGCTTTTATATAATCTGTGTATGATGGCTACCATATCTGGGTCAACATAATGGCATTTCTGTTTTGTTTTTAATAAATAAAACTGAAGGTGAGGGCCAGTCAGTTACTGGGGCTGAGGAATTGGTTAGGGAGGAATTTCAAATACTGTTGGTGGTGGCTTGGTATGAGTTCTAGGTGTGTATCATGGGTTAATAAAATTAATGCTAAGCATTATGTGCAAATGTGCACAATATATAGTTGAAAGCAGCTTAAGAAATCCTAACCTTGCTATATTTGTAATACAGGATTAATAATACTTGGTTATATTGGATTGGATTACTAACATTTGAAATTCCCTGTGTAGAAATTCAGCACTTTTAGAATGCACCATGGCAGTTAACTTGAGGGAACAATACCATTGACATGTTATAATATAGGGTGTGATACAGAATCCTTTGGATTATGTGACTTAATGTGGGAAGTCTGTAGTCCTCCAGATATTGTTAAACCATAGCTCTCAGTGGCTTCAATAAGCATGCTGGAAATTCAGTTCAGCATCATCTGGGAAACAAGTTCTATTAACAAAAAAAATTAAAAAATAATAAAGTAGATGGAGAAATTGTTAATTACAATAGGGATTATTTTGGAATGTTTTCTGGCTATAAAATTTGCTGTTATGCCTTTTGCATTTAAAATACAATAGTTCAGTATTGTAGGATTCATTAAATCTTTAAACATTTAAGCAGCGTAAACTGAAGTATTTTTGGAACTTGCCCTGTCTGTTGGCAGTATTTCACTAATTGAAATAACCTTTTGTTTTGAACAGGCTGACAAGGTTTCATCTGAAGTTTTGGCTGGTGAACTAACTGAGGTATGTTAGTTATTCTGCAAATCTATCCATGTTTCCCCTTCCCCTTAATTGTGCAATCTGTTGAGAATTGTGCATTAAACTTGTGAAATGGGAAAGGGATGGAAGGTAATCAAATACTTGAATTTTTGTGGTTCCATTCCTGCTGGGAGTTGAATATGAGAAAAAGATTTTTTCCAGAATGGGATGAACTTCTCAAATATTATTTTGTCACGGAGAAACATTTAGTATTGATCGCATAGCCTAGAGACACATTAGACTATGATGTGGGCAGGCAATTTGAGGAATCAAGATGCTGCTCTTTTTATTTAGAACCAGACCTTAGGGTTGGGCAGATACTATACAAACTGCTCTGGATCCAAAGCTTGATTTTTTTCCCCTAGTTCAGGAATATAATTTGGAGGCATAGAATCCCACTCTTTCTGGAAGATGGATGTAGGATGTCTTTCTTCTGTTCTTTAACTGATAAAGTCCAACCACTGCATTGCAGCCAGCACCCATTTTCTTGTTCTCTCCTGGAAACCAGTTTTTTTTCTAGAGGCACTGTATAATCATGGTCAAGTTCAAGATTATAAAAGTCTCTTCCACCTCCAAGGCTTGCTCCACATATAGAAAAAGACAGGCTGAAAAGAGGTAGCATTCTTCTTTCAAAGTCATCTTTGGCTTTTTCTAGGCTACTGCTTAAGATGATCATGATACTGGTATCTCCTAAGCCAGACCAGGCATCTCATACTATATATTTTTTTTTCCTGGATCTTTGCAACTGCCAGTTCAGATCATGTTGATCTTCTGACTGCTAGTTGTTCATGGATGCGTTCTGCTAGTCTTCTGCCTGTCTGTCCTACATAGTGGCTATTAACAGTCCATATGTTGTAGATGCTGCCTGTTTTTGATTCTTGGGCTACTGGGTCTTTTAGTTTACTGAAGATGTTTTGGAGGGCTTTACTTAGTTTGTGTGCTATGGTGATGCTGTGTAGTTGTAATAGTCTGTTGGTTGCTTCTGAGATGTTTTTGATGTGTGATCATGTTATCTTTTCATAACTTGTGTTGGTTGTGCTGTAGTGCGTTGAGTGATCAGGCACTTAATGATAAAGTTAGGTGAGTAACCATTTTGTTGGAAGATGTTGTATAGGCAGTCTGTTTCCTTTTTTTGGTGTTCTGGGTTGCTGCAGTGTGTTTGTACTCATCTGAATAATGTTCTTACACAGCTCCTCTTATGGGAGGTTGGGTTGTTACTTTCATAATGGAGTACTTGGTTGGTATGGGTTGTTTTTTGATAGACTTGTGTTTCTAATTTGCCATTGTTTCCTCTGCTGATGAGGATATCCAGGAAGGGTAGTGTGTTGTTTTCTTCTTTTCTTGTGAATTTTACTCCTTTGAAGATGTTGTTGATTGTTTCATGTGTCTTCTCTAATTGTCCCTTTTTTATTATGATGGTGTCATCTACATACCAGATCCATACTTTTTGTTGTGTGTGTGGGAGTGCTATGATTTCTAGACACTGCATTATGGTCTCTGCTATGAGTCCTGAGAGTGGTGATCCCATAGGTGTAGAAAGTGAGGCAGAGGTTGATGAGGTTCATGATTCTAGGTATTTCAATCTTAGTATATTTGGCTAGGTTGGCTGTGCTGTGTAATACTGCTGCCATGGATTCTTTTGCTAGTTCTGGATCTATGGATGTAAAGAGTGCTATGACATCAAATGAAACCATAATTTCATCTTCTAGTTTTAGGCCTTTGATTTTCTGGAGGCACTGTAATGGGGAGTTGATAGAATATTCACTCTTTTCTGTGAGATGTCCAAGCTTTTTTGTAAAGTCTTTGGCTATGCTGTATGCTGGGGTCTCTGGTAATGACACAATTGGACAAAGAGGTATGTCGGACTTGTGTATTTTTGGGTGTCAATAGAAGCGTGGAAGGATGGGTCCACTGCTTTTCATTCACCACTGTTCTTATTTGTGATTTGACCTTTACTGGTTAGGTCATCGAGAGTTCCCTTGATCAGGTTGTCCAGTTTCTATATCGGGTTGGTGTATACTGGGATGTAGGTTTCTTTGTCCTCCAGTAATTCCTTGGCGTTTTGTATGCATTGTTTTCTGTCCATGATAAGTGTGGTTTGGCCTTTGTCTGCTGGGAGAATGGTGATGGTTTGGTCCTTCTTTAGGTTTTTGAGGGTTGTTCTGTCCTTTGCTTTGAGTTGGTTCTGATTCTGTGTTCTTCTGGTCTGTTGTGTGAGTGTCTGCCTTCTGTTTTCTTCCATCTCTGTGGCAAGTCCTGTGGTTTAAATGCTGCTTCTAAGGCAGCAAAGAATTCTAACTGATTAATATCGTCTGTGTTATAGTTGAGGCCTTTTTGGAGGATATTGTGTTCTGCGGTGGATAGTGGGTGGCTGTACATGTTGACTACCCATTTGGGTTCAGGTACCTCTTTGCTTCTGGGGTTTAGCTTGAACAGTTGGTTTGGCGTTTTGTTTTCCTTTTTTTCAGCTTATCTTAGAGATATAGTCTTGTGGGTGGTTGTCAGCATTTTTGTGTGTTCTGGGGTCATTGCTGGTTCCGGTTACTCCTTGAGGTTATCTATGATGTACTGGTATTTGTTTAGTCTGAGGTGAACATCCATGATCATTGGCCATATCATTTTTCAGCCGCTTTGTTGAGCTATTTTCCATCCTGCTGTGCAGTTTATTGGCGATTTGTATCTGATATTGGTGGGCAGGGCATGCTGTTGTAGGCATTCATGCAGAAAGAATAGTTGTTCCATGGTGGAGGTTTGCCTACATGCACATTTCTCTCATTTGTGTGCTTTCTGAAGCATTTGACGCCCATATGTGGGTCCAGTAGAAGAGGATATACGTAGCTCAGGGTTCTCTATTCATCTCTCTGCATTTGTCTATTCACTGCCCCAAATACATAGCTCCTCTTGAGATAGTGTACACATTGGTCATTCCCATTTCTCTGACCGAACCTTCTCCTTTCTCTAGAGGTATTGAATTGAATAGTAAGTTAATAGGAGAACATTGGCACTGAATATGTACAGTCGTGTGAAAAAGAAAGTACACCCTCTTTGAGTTCTATGGTTTTACGTATTAGGACATAATAAAAATCATCTGGTCCTTAGCCGTTCTCAAAAGTAGGTAAATATAGCCTCAGATGAACAACAACATGACATATTAAACCATGTCATTTATTTTACAAAAAGAAAGCCAAAATGGAGAAGCCATGTGTGAAAAACTAA